CTCTTGCCTTATGTGGAGCATTTGCGCGAGGCCGATCCAGCTGATGGCCGTCGAGCCCGAGTATCTGCGTGCTCCCAGCCGAGTTGTCGCCAACTGGGCCGCCTCGCTCAACCCCGAAGTCGAGGGCGCCCCCTCGAAGGCCAAAGAGTTCGCCAGGCCCCAATGCCGGGGGCCGCCAAGTCGAGGCCTCCAGATCAGAAGGCGCTGCAGTTCGGCTACCCTCAGCTGGCCGCCGCCGCGCAGGGGGTGTCGATGGGGCCCGGGCATCGACCTGGTGGTCTACCAGGCTGGGCACAGCGGCGCCAGCTCCGACATGGCCTCTCGCGAGCGCGCGCCTGCGGGGGTCAAGCGGCGGGGTGGTGGTGGTGGAAGTCCGACCGCTCAGTCGCGCGGCGCGAGAAGGGGGCCCGTCATCGGACCCCATGCAAGCCGCGTGGGATTTGTATCGGATCCCAAACAGGCCGCAGGGGATCTGTATTGGATCCTACACAGGCCGTTGGGGATCTGCATCGGATCCCATACAGGTCGCATGGGAATTGTATTGGAGCCCATACAGGCCGTGCGAGATTTGTATCGGATACCATACAGGCGATTCGGGATTTGTATCGGATCCTACACAATCCTTCGGGGATATGTTCTGGATCCCATACAGGCCGTATGGGATTCGTATCGGATCCCATGCAGGCCGAATGGGGTTTGTTTCAGATCCCAATCAGGCCGTATGGGATCTGTATCATAACCCATACAGGCCGTATGGGATCTGTATCGTATCCCATTCAGGCCGTCTGTGATCTGTATCGGATCCCATACAGGTTGTATGAGGTCTGTTTCGGATCCCATACAGGCCGTATGGGATTTCGGTTCGTGGCCCCACAAGGGGCACAACCGAATGCTTCGGGTTCTTGTCGGCACAGCGCTCACACAGTTTGCGGCCGCACCACCGAAAGCTTTCGCGGCCCCACAGGGGGCGCAACCGAAGGCTTCGGGTCCATTCCAGCACACCCCTCACAAGGTTCGTGGCCCACGGGGGGCACAACCGAAGGTTTCGGATCCATGTCGGCGTACCCCTCACACGGCTCGTGGCCTCACAGGGGCCGCAACCGAAGGCTTCGGGTTTTTTTCCAGCATGCGTTTACACGGTGCGTGGCCCCACAGGGGGCACAACCGAAGGTTTCGGATTCATGTCGGCACACCACTCACACGGTTCCGGCCCCCCCAGGGGCCGCAACCGAAGATTTCGGGTCCATTTCGGCACACCCTTCACACGGCTCGTGGCCCACAGGGGGTGCAACCGAAGGCCTCGGTTCCATGTCGGCGTACCCCTAACACGGTACTTGGCGCCACAAGGGGCGCAACCGAAGGTTTTGGTTATATTTCGGTGCATTCTTCAAACGGTTCGTGGCCCCACATGGGGTTGCAACCCAAGGCTTCGGATTTATTTTTGCACGCCCCTATCACGGTTCGCGGCCCCACACGGTTCTTGTACCATATTCATAGAGTTTCCATTCGGTCTTGTACCATCCGTATAGAATTCCCAGTAGCTCCTCTATTCTCCTTTCTAAAAACAGAATAGGATCTACCCCCCCCCCGGCGTTATCACTCCCCGTTTCGGGTATGTAAATCATATATGATATTGACCACATGTCCATCCTAAATATGAACTTGCACTATCCCAGAGGGGGCCGGTATCCCTCCCCTGAGGGTCCATTGTTCGACTAGACGTAAGAGTGACCTTTCGCCGGAGTGACCTTTGGTGCGGGCCCAGTGGGGCCCCCCGATCGCCGAACGCGATGCGATGGTAGCGCCTTGCGCGCCTGTGTTTGGTCCCCCCGCGGCCCCCAAAAAAGCTGCGCACCAAAGGTCACTCTTACCCAGGGTCACTCCTGCGTGTAGCCGAATTGTAAAAACACTATGCGGTGACATTTTCTGTTCTACCTTAACACTTTTTCACGAATCCCTTGCAACAAATGGGACGAAATGCACGCGCGCGCGTCGTCGCGCGCGCATGCCGAAATCTTTCAAAAACCTTGGGTGCCGGAAGGATTTCGCAATTGAGTTCCCCAAAAACATACAAAATCACAGGGTTCCGCAACACTGATTTGTTAAACAAGCTTCTCCGCGAGCTCTTGCGAAATCTTAAGAAAACCATAGGTGTTTCAAGATGTTCACAAAATGCTACCAAACGGGCTTCGCGCGCGCATGTCGAAATCTGTCGAACGCCCTTGCGCGTGTGCCGTCGCGAGAATCCTTTGCAAAAAACGGGACGAAGTGCAGACGGGCGCGTCGTCGCGCGCGTATGCCGAAAACCTTCAAAACCCATCGGTTTCGGAAGGATTTCAAAATCGTGTGTCCCAAAAACCTGCAAAAGCACAAGGTTTCGCAACACGGATTTTCAACAAAAGCGTGCGCGCGCGCTCTTGCGTCGTCGTCGTCGTCGTCGTTGTCGTCGCCGTCCTCCCTCCTCCCGCGTCGTCGTCGTCGTCGTCGCCTACGTCGTCCTCTGTCTTTGCTCGTGTTCGTCGTCGTCGTCCTCTTTGGCGTCGTGGTCGTTTCCGTCGTCGTTGTTGCCGTGGTCGTCCTTCCTCCTCCTCCCTTGTCGTCGTCGTCGTCGTCCGTCGTCGGCGTCTCGTCGTCGTCCTTCCTTTTTCGTCGCCGTCGTCGTCGTCGTCGTCGTTGTCGTCGTCGTCTTCCCTCCTCCCTCGTCGTTGTCGTCGTCGGCGCCGCCGTTCTTCATCCTTTTTCATCGTTCGCGTCGTCGCCGTCCTCCCTCCTCCCTCGTCGTTGCCGTCGTTGTCGTCGTTGTCGCCGTCGTCGTCCTTCCTCCTCCCTCGTCGTCTTCGTTGTCGTCGTCTTCGTCGTCTTCGTCGTCGTCGGCGTCGGTGTCGTTGTCGTCGTCGAAGTCGTCGGAGACGTCGTCGGCGTCGTCGTAGTCGCCGTCGTCGTCGTCGTCGTCGTCGGCGTCGTTGACGTCGTCGTCGTCGTCGTCGGTGTCGTCGTTGTCGTCGTCGAAGTCGTTGGAGACGTCGTCGGAGTCGTCGGCGTCGGTGTCGGCGGCGCCGTCGTCGTCGTTGTCGCTGTCGTCGTCGGCGTCGGTGTCGTGGCCAAGTGTCATGTGGTACGTACCGTCACGGTCTTGTCTTAAGAGGTCTTGCGACCAAGTTGCGGGTGGGAGGGTGGGATGTTTGCACGAGCAGTGGAGAGGAAAGCTTCGAGACGGTCAAAGATTAATTCTCCTTTCTAAAAACAGAATAGGAACTACCCCCCCCGGCGTTATCGCCCCCCGTTTCGGATATGTAAATCAGATACGATTCTGACCACATGTCCATCCTAAATATGAATTTACACTATCCCAGGGGGGCCGGTATCCCCCCCCCTGAGGGTCCCTTGTAAAAAACATTATGCGGTGACATTCTTTGTTATAACATAACACTTTTTCACGAGTCCCTCGCAAAAAGTGGGACGAAGTGCACACGCGCGCGTCGTCACGCGCGCATGCCGAAATCCTTCAAAAACCTTGGGTGCCGGAAGGATTTCGCAATTGAGTTCCCCAAAAACATACAAAATCACAGGGTTCCGCAACACTGATTTGTTAAACAAGCTTCTCCGCGAGCTCTTGCGAAATCTTAAGAAAACCATAGGTGTTTCAAGATGTTCACAAAATGCTACCAAACGGGCTTCGCGCGCGCGCATGTCGAAATCTGTCGAACGCCCTTGCGCGTGTGCCGTCGCGAGAATCCTCTGCAACAAATGGGACGAAGTGCAAACGGGCGCGTTGTCGCGCGCGTATGCCGAAAACCTTCAAAACCCATCGGTTTCGGAAGGATTTCAAAATCGTGTGTCCAAAGAACCTACAAAAGCCCAAGCGTTCGCAACACGGATTTTCAACAAAAGCGTGCGCGCGCGCGCTCTTGCGTCGTCGTCGTCACCGTCGTCGTCGTCGTCGTCGTCGTCGCTGTCCTCCCTCCTCCCGCGTCGTCGTCGTCGTCGTCGCCTACGTCGTCCTCTGTCTTTCCTCGTGTTCGTCGTCATCGTCCTCTTTGGCGTCGTGGTCGTTTCCGTCGTCGTTGTCGCCGTGGTCGTCCTTCCTCCTCCTCCCTCGTCGTCGTCGTCGTCCGTCGTCGGCGTCTCGTCGTCGTCCCTTCTATTTCGTCGCCGTCGTCGTCGTCGTTGTCGTCGTCGTCTTCCCTCCTCCCTCGTCGTTGTCGTCGTCGGCGTCGCCGTCCTTCCTCCTTCGTCGTTCGCGTCGTCGCCGTCCTCCCTCCTCCCTCGTCGTTGTCGTCGTTGTCGTCGTTGTCGCCGTCGTCGTCCTTCCTCCTCCCTCGTCGTCGCCTTCGTTGGCGTCGTCGTCGTCGTCTTCGTCGTCGTCGGCGTCGGCGTCGTTGTCGTCGTCGAAGTCGTCGGAGACGTCGTCGGTGTCGTCGTAGTCGTTGTTGTCTGTGTCGTCGTAGTCGGTCTTAAGAGGTTTTGCAAACGAAGTTGCGGGTGGGTGGGTGGGATGTTTGCGCGAGCAGTGGAGGTGACGACTTCAAGTTCAGCAGAGTGGATCATCCCCATAGAGTTCCCAGCAGGGCACGTCTCATCCCTATAGAGTTGCCAGTCGGCCTTGTACCATCTTTATAGAGTTCCCAGTAGGCGCTGTGCCATCCCTATAGAGTTCCCAGTAGGTCCTGTATCATCCTTCTAGAGTTCCCAGTGTTTACTGTACCATCCCTATAGAGTTCCAATTTGGTCTTGTACCATCCCTATAGAGTTCCCAGTCGGTCCTCTACCATCCCTATAGAGTTCCCAGTAGGTCCTGTAACATCTTCGTAGAGTTTCCACTAGGTCTTGTGCCATCGCTATATGGTTCCCAGGAGGAAGAGGAGAAGGAGGAGGAGGAGGAGGAGGAGGAGGAGGGAGCAGAAGGGAGCAGAAGGGAGCAGAAGGGAGCAGAAGGGAGCAGAAGGGAGCAGAAGGGAACACGCGCGCAAGCGCTTTGCGCGGGGAGCGCGCGCTGGCAGGAGCTGAGGGCCGTGCAGGCGGAGCTGGCGGCGCGGCGCGCGGATGCCGATGACGCGTTCCGCCTCAACGAGGCCGCGCCTCCTCCCGCCCTCTCTTCGGGCCATCCCTGGGGCCCGCATGGGGGCGAGGGGGAGGAGGAGGAGGAGGAGGAGGAGACGGAGGAGGAGGAGGAGGAGACGGAGGAGGAGGAGTAGGAATAGGAGGAGGAGGAGGAGAAGGAGGAGGATGAGGAGCAGGAATACGACGACGTCGCCGAGGAAGAGGACGAATTGGACAGGGAAGGCGATGACCTCATCGCCACCATGAGGGCAAGGCCGAGGACGAGGAAGACAACGAAGGAGAGGACAGAGCTCTCGACATTGCCTCTTGGAGCCCTCGCGTCGCTTTGGTCTTCTTGGGCCTCCTGGTCGCCACGGCCGGATTCGCCTCGAAATTCTATTTGGATCGCGCCTCGGGAGAGGTCCAGGGAGTAGCGGCAGCGGTACCCTCATGTCCCCTTACATCCTCGCGCTTGCCGCTGTCTCTCCTCCGTCCTCTGGCCTCCGTCCTCTGCCCTCCCTCCTCCATCTTCCTCCACCTCCTCCTGGCTCCCTCCTCCGTCCGCCCTGTTCTCGTGACAGGCTCCAGGACCAGAAGTTTTGTCGGCCCCGCTTTCACGAGCACCACTTTCAAGGACGGAAGGGCCCATGTGCCCGACCCGTCTCGACAGGGTTATGCCTACCCTCAAGCATGCACTGCAATCTGCCGTCTTCCCTCCTCCGTCTTTCCTCCTCCTGCTGGTGGTGATGGGTGGTGGTGGGAGTGGTGTTGATGACGGTGATGAATCTGCTGAGTATTATGATGCTGGTAATGCTGCTGTTGATGCTGCTGCTGATAATACTGCTGCTGCTTACGATGTTCATGATGTTCATGATGATGATGATGATGATGACGATGATGATGATGAGGATGATGATGATGATGATGATGACGGTGGTAATGATGAGGCAGATGATGTTTATGATGCTGATGCTGATGATGCTGATGATGATGTTGCCGATCATGATGATGATGATGCTGATGATGATGATGATAATGATGATGAAATGATGGCGCTGATGGTGATGGTGGTGATGATGATGCTGGTGATGATGACGCTGATGACAATGATGCTGATGATGCTAATGATGATGATGCTGCTGATGATGATGCTGATGATGCTGATGATGATGATGATGATGATGGTGAGGTTGCTGCTACTGCTGCTGCTGCTGATGATGATGCTGATGATGATGCCGATGCTGATGCCGATACTGCCGCTGATACGATGGAGATGATGATGACGATACGGTGGACGATGGTGGTTCGGCTGATGATGTTGCTTCTGATTATTTCGATGGTGATGGTGATCACGATTCTGATCATCATATCGCGATGGCGATGGCGACGAAGACTAATTTAATCACGATGATGACAGTTGTGGTTATGCTGATGATGCTGCTGCTGATGATGATCATGCTGATGATGATGCTGATGATGATGCTGCTGCTGATGATAATACTACTTGTGCTGCTGCTGACGACGATGATGCTGATGATGATGATGATGATGCTGATGATGATGATGATGATGATAATAGTTGTGCTGCTGCTGACGACGACGATGCTGATGGTGATGATGATGATGATGATGATGATGATGTCGATGATGATGGCGATGTTGATGATGATGATGATGATGATGATGAGGATGATGCTGATTCTCATCATGCTTGTGATGCTCATGATGCTAATGATGATGATGATGATGCTGATCATGATGATGCTGCTGATGATGATGATCGCGCTGATGATGATGATGATGATGATGATGATGATGATGATGATGATGATGATGATGATGCGGATGATGATGCTGATATTGACGAACATGATGATGATGATGATGATGATGATGATGATGATGATGATGATGATGCTGATGATGATGATGATGATGATGATGATAGTGATGATACTGATTACGCTGATGGTGCTGCTGATGCTGCTGCTGATGATGATGATGTTAGTGTTGATGATGCTGATGCTGATAATGATGCTGATGCTGATGCTGATGCTGATGGTGATGCTAATGATGATGCTGCTGCTGACGATGATGATTATGTTCTTGATGATGATGCTGATGCTGATGCTAATGATGATGGTCATGCTTGTGATGCCAATGATGCTAATGATGACGATGCTGATCATGATAATCTTCTGCTGATAATGATGATGCTCATGATGATGATCACGCTGATGCTGATCATGCTGATGATGATGCTGATGATGATGATGATGAGGATGATGATGATGATGCTGATGCTGGTGATGATGGTGCTGGTGGTGATGCTTTTGCCGCTGCTGCTGCTGGTGATGATGGTGAGCTGATGGTGATGATGCTGCTGCTGATGATGATGATGATGCTGCTGCTACTGACGATGATGATGATGATGATGATGATGATGATGATGATGATGATGATGATGATGATGATGATGATGATGATGATGATGATGATGGTGATGACAAGAAAGAGGACGAGGAGGAGGAGGAGGAGGAGGAGGAGGAGGACCGCTCCTTCGCCCTCCCTCCTGTGCTGCTTGTCTCGATTTGCTGCAGGGTGATATTTTTTCAGGTCGTGGGCTCCCGTGTGGCTCCTGTGGGCCTCCGGAATAAGAGTTCGATCGCGGTGGTGCGTCCAGAGCTTGAGGAGGAGGAGGAGGATGATGAGGAGGAGGAGGAGAAAAATTGTGCCGACAAGGGGCGAGGCGTGCCCTCCTGGTCCTCATGCTCCTGCAGGGAGGTGGGGGTTCCATGATGGGGGTGGCGGAACTTCGCCCTCAGCTTTCCTTCTTCCTTTTTCTCCCCGTCCCTCCTCGTCGCTCTCCTGCTCCCTCCTCGTCATCGCCCTCCTCCTTTTCCCCCTCCTCCCCCCCTTCCTCTTCCTCCTCCTCCTCCTCCTCATCCTCCTCTTCTTCCACCTCACTCAATTAGGAAGGGCCGCCGCTGTCTGGCCCGAGGGTCGAGGCATATCCTCTTAGTGTTTGAAGAGTAAAACCCCCGCAATCTTCATCATATTGCCGCCACGTTCTCCCTCGTAGAGCGTCCAGACCCCCCAGTTCTGGTTGGTAACGGAGCTTGAAACGATCCCAGTTCGCGATCCACGGAACGTGCGAAGAATGCGGTGTGGATGCGCGTTCGAATCGACCTTCGCCTCCGCATCGGTACCACCCTCCATTCGCTTCGGACATCCGGTCCGACTGCGAGGGCAACAGCAGAAGACACCCGCGATGAGGAACGACTCGCCCACAAGAGCGCCACGACGTTCTTCGACCCATCGCAACCCCACAAGCACTGGCCGCTGTGAATTGTACTCCATACAATGCAGTTGCCAGTGTGTTTGCGAGGATTTCTGACATAACTTGTTAGATACTACCCCCCAGCACGCATGACAGAGCATGTGTACAGCAAGCAGTGCATAGCAGCAGGACAAGACAGCAAGTGCCATTGCCATCTTAGCTCGACAGGCCTCTCGGCAGACGAGCAGGTTACCATCGCCTCTCCCCGCCCGCAGAGCGTGATTGGGGGCGGCGTCGAGGACGTTTCGGCCGAGGACGGGAAACGGATTTCGAGGGAGGTTCGACGACCTAAAGAGCGTTGAGCAGCTGACATTGGTAGCGGAGCAGTTGCTCCACGGACACGTATACGGTGAAGTACTTCAACGATGGGTCCACCAGACGGCAAAGGGGGACGAGGAGCAGCAGCAGCAGGAGGTGCGCTCGGACGCGCTGCAGCAGCTGGAGACGGTCAGCAGCTCTCCTCGGGATTCCTGGGTCGAGCTCCAGAGTTCGATGGCTCGATCGACGGGTACGAGACCTTCAGACGGAAGGTGGAGACCTTCGCAGCACGGGCTCGTGGTAGAGAACAAGAGAGGACAGTAGGTTTGGAGGTCATGCAGGGCCTGAATGGTCGAGCGTGGGAAGTGGTCGAGGATTTGGATATCGAGAAGCTCGAGGAGGAGAAAGGTTGGAGGACCATCTTAGACGTGCTCGACTGGGCGTACAAGTACGACCAGATCGCGGAGCTGCCGACCGACTTCGAGACGTTTTTCTTCAAGACAGCCCGCAAGCCCGAGGAGGCGCTGATGGATTACCTCGCGAGGTTTCGCACGGCCGAGCGGAAGATTCGCGCACATGACGTTGCACTGCCAGACAAGGTGCTCGTCTGGTTCTTGTTGCGACGGGCAGGTTTGGACAGAGAGGGCAAGCAGCTGGTTGCGAGCCAGGTCGGCGACGACCTGTCGCGCGACAAGGTGGAGAGCGAGATGAAGAAGACGTTCGGCCTGGGCGCCTTCCCAAGCACCAGAGCGAGCTCGGGGGCGGCAGCCTACAAGCTGGGCGACTACGACGACGAGGACGAGATCCAGGAATACGCCTACTACCACTTACGCATACGAGGAAGACGAATACTACGAGGACGTTGCAGAGGATCAGCAGGCATATGCAGGCCACAGCTTCGACTCAGAGGCGGCCTACTACAGCGAGACGGCCACCATGGGTGGCAACCCCATGCCGGACCAGTCGTATGACGTGGATCAGTGCGATGATTATGGCAGCCTACGCGGACGCAAGGCAGAAGATGAATGGCGTGCGATTGGCTAGAGGTTTCTAGCCAGTTGTCGCGATGGTGCCGCCACCACAGAGAAGCTCAACGGCCATCGTTCCCAGGGCCAGCCAGGCTCGAGGACGAGGCGCGGCGCGTGGCACATCGAGGGGCAAGGCGACTGGGAGAGGAGGTACCAACAAAGGACGTGGCAAGAGTACGCACACCAGCGGATATGGCCGAGGTTCACCTGGGCGAGGTCAGCCAGCGCACCCGCCACTCATCAGAGCGACAGAAGAAACGATATGCCCACGATGTGGAGGTCGAGGTCACTTTGCCAGGGGCTGCCCGCGCGCGAGCCGCAAGAGGCAGAACGTCGGAGACGACGCGGCCGAGGCGAGGATGGTCACGGACGAGGCGGGGGACGCGTGCAACTCGACCGAGCTGGG